CAGTTGCTTCATGCCTGTAATCCAGCTACTCAATAGGCTGAAGATGGGAGGGTCGTAGAACCCAAAACAGGGACTGTAGGAAAGGAAGCATATCTGGGTAACTGCTGTAATCGCAACTCTCAGTTGCATTTGGATGGTGGCTTACCACAGGTATCTCATCCTGGGCCACCCATCCACCTCCTGCATTCCCAGGCTAGGAGCAGACTGGCGTGCATGCAACAGAAAAAACTGTGGCCAGGCAGACACCATTAAATTTGTTCTAATTTAGGATTTCTCAACCTTGGCACTATTGACATTTGGGTCTGGGCAATTCTTTGTTGTTGGGGGGCACGGGGGCTGTCCTGGGCATTGTAGGATGTTCAGCAGCATCTCTGACCTCTACTTATTAGAGGCCATTAGCATCCCCCTTCCCCCAATCATGACAACTAAAAATGTCTTCAGACATCATCAAATGTCCCCTGGAGGAGAAAAATTGCCCTGGTTGAGAATCACTGTCCTAATTTATACAAAATAAGGAAATGGTCCAAATCTCAGTGTTTCAGGATTAATAACACATGACTTGCTCCTGCATTCTACACAAAAGACATGATGCAACACATCCTGTACTAGAAACTACTACTCAAACTCACTAGCAAACTCTTGAGTCAGCAGAGTTAAATCAGCTCTTGCTTCTACAATCAGGAACACCCACAGAGGTTGAAGGCTCCATCTGTGCTTACTAGCTATGGAACCTTGAGCAGACCCAAATTTCTATTTTTCTATCTGTAAAATGGGCACATTAATTTACTTCACAGAGCTGTTGCAAGGACTAAAATGAGACAGTGCATGGCACAGGACTGTGTCAGCTGCCAGAGCCACACAATTACTGGACATAATCATTACACATGTATATATCTGTTTGTGTGTGTGTGTGTGTGTGTGTGTGTGTGTGTGTGTGTGTTTATCTTGAGGACTCAGAAGTGGATTTGAGACTAGAGGCCACAGTAGGAATGTCCTCCATGAAAGTCTTTGGCATAGGCCAGCCAACATTCCCCTGCAATGACTGGGCCACTGTGGGTGGAGTGGGTTGGGGTGCTCCTGCCCAAGGGAAGCTTCTCTGCTCCCATCTTTTTGCAAACACCCCTGCCACCTCTTCCTGACTCATGGGGTCAGCAGAGAACTGGCATTTTGGGGCCAGGGCAGGAGGTGGAATGGTGGCCACGCAAGAGCCATCAGCCTGGGGCCGGTGTGGTAGGGGGCCAGGAGCCAGGCCTGGCACTAACACCCTGTGGTGCCCCATTCCCATGGCGACAGGACCACTGGTGGCAAACCCAAATCATCTTCATTATGGTTATTATGATTAATAACAGGCTTTGGGAGGCTGGCATGACAGCACTGGCATCTAAAATGATACCTTTTTTGACGACGGCAGAACAGCTGTATGCTGGAGTCTGTCTGGATGTGCAGAACACACATCACTGGGCTGCTCCATCCCTGCCTCGGGCTGAGGGGTGGTCTCTCCCTGCTGGGCACCAAGGGCTATCCATACCCCAAGCTCTAATAACTGAGGGGAGGGCAGGAAGGCAAGTGACTCCTGCTGAATGCTTACTGTTTGTCAGAATGCCCATCCCACTTAGGCCTCACAAGCCCACAATCTGAGGGCTACCATCCTGTTCTGTGGATAAGGAAACGGAGGCTCACAACAGTTAAGTGACCTGTCCAAAGGGACAGAGCTGAGATCTGTTTGAGCACAAGTCTTTAAAACCCCAGGGACTAGGCACCTCACCCCAATTCTACAAGAATTTCTGGAGAGAACCATTAAAAAGCTTGGCTGGGTATGGTGGTGCACACCTGTAAGCCCAAGACCTTGAGAGGCTGAGGTAGGAGGACGGCTCAGAGGTTGAGGCTGCAGTGAGCCATGATTGCACTACTGCATTCCAGCCTGGGTGACAAAGCAAGAGATCCTGTCTCAAAAAAAAAAAAAAAAAAAAAAGGAAAATGCTAAACTAAGCCTTCCTCATCTGTATCCCATTTAATCACCAAAACAGCCTTATGAGGTAGGTGCTATTAATTAGTGCCTGCCCCTACTCCTATTTTACCGATGAGGAAACTGAGGATCAGGGAACCCTTAGGTGTGTGTTAAACAAGTTTTTGGAATCTCTCTCAAGGTATTCGAGACTGAATTTTGTCTCCCCCAAATTTATTATGTTGAACCCCTAACCCTCAGTTTGATTGTATTTAGAGATAAAGCCTATAGGGAGGTGATTAAGGTTAAGTGAGGTCATAAGTCTGGGGCCCTAATCCAATAAGATTGGTGTCCTTGTAAGAAGAGGAAAGACATCAAAGACTTCTCTCTCTCTCTTTCAGTGCACAGAGAAGAGGCCATATGAGGACACAGTAAGAAGGTGGCCATCTGCAAGCTGGGAAGGGAGCCCTCACTAGACACTGAATTTGCCAGCACCTTGATCTTGGACTTTCAGCCTCCAGAACTGTAAGAAAATAAATGTCTGTTGTTTAAACCCCTGAGTCTGGTATTGTGTTACAGCAGCCCAAGCTGACTAATACATGCACTCTCTAATTATTTGCTGACTGGCTGAGTGAATAATGAATGAGGGAACTTCCAGGCCTATCTCCTGAGAGATACTGGCCCTGCTTCCTGCAATGCCCAAAGCCTAGCCAGCTCCCTTCTCTCTCCACTCCTATAATCCAGCCCCCAGGTTGTTGATTAGGGCCATAGATGCCCCTTATTCAAGGGGTGTCTCCTGGCCTCTGGCTGCTGCACTGGGGGCTCCAGGCTGCAATGGGGGCAGTGACCAAAGATGCCTTTGCATAAACAAGAGGGAATAAATGGACCTGAACCCCTGAGGGGACTCTGTGGATCCCTAGAGCTACACTGGAGGTATTCATAAATATTGAGGCAAATCCACTACCTGGGAAACATCCTGGGATTCATGGGACACCCAAGAGTTCCACCTCCCTGTCATGGTTTGCAACGTGCTTGCTTTGGTAGAACCCACTTGCTACATAAGTTTGATTACCCTGAGACTGCCGTGGTGTGAGGAAGCCCAATGTAGTCATGCAGACAGGCTGCATGAAGAGAGAAAAGCAGGAGATGAGAGAGACCCCATCAGTCCCCCAGATGTTTCAGCCAGCCCAGCCCAGCTGTGTGAATGAGGAAGCCTTCAGTTGTCTGCAATTTTACCACCCATCCCATTGTACCTACAGGACAAACTGAACACAAGAGCTCAGCTGAGCCCTGTCAACTCACAGAACCATGAGGGATGACAATACCTTTTTTTAAGCCACTAAGTTTTGAGATGGTTCATTGCAGCATAATATGTAACTGGAACAAGGATAAAAGCATAAGAAGTCATTGATGGCTACTTGTGGGTGGCCGGGAAATGTGAATTTCTTGTTGGGAGATGTTGCTGAGGGCACTCCCTGGGTTTGTGTTGACAACCTGGCTGGGGCAGGGGTGGGAGCGGCTGCTGTCTGGACAAGCAGACTGGAAGCCACATTGCCCTTGACTTGGTTGAACTAACTTCCTGGTTGACACTGGGTCTCCATGAATGAGCTAAAGGAAGGGATGCCCAAGGCATTCCATTCCATTCCATTCCATTCCATTCCATTTCTTTTTCTTCCTCTTCTCCTTGTGGCTTCAGAAAACTGAGTCTAAAGGCAGAAAATCAGAGGTCCTGCACCCCTTTCCTCCACCACAGGGAGAAGCCACTGGTGAGGAGAAAGGGAGAAGTGTGGACATGCCACCAGGAGGGAAGAATGTCTGCTTTTTATAAAAGCCCAGAAGCAAGTTAGAGAAAACTCTTACTGGGCCTCCTTTTGTCTTGATGCAAATACTTGGGTTCACAGTGAAGTCACCCACCATTGCATCCTTGCAGTTCCCCTGGGACACTGGGAAACTGGGAAGGGTATGAGTTCCCTGCCAGTGAACCAGGAACTTAACTGCTGCAGGGGAGTCAGAGGGAAGAAGGGATTCTACACGGTCTTGCCCTCCTGGGCTTCTTGGGTTCCAACTGGAGGGACTCTCTCCAGTATCTCTTGATATATTTATATATTTACTGCCTACTTACTGCCTTAGGGACTACAGATAGTTTTGTAGACTATGGTTAATCTTTCTTGGGTGGAGTAAAATCTGAAAAAGAAACTTAAGCATCTGTTTGGTCCTCATCACACAGAAACAGCTACGTGAAGTTTTGTCAAATTCCAAATGATCCGACTTATAACAGATTCAAGGTATCGTACAGCACAAACAAGATTCACTTTGTTGGCGTCCCTGCGGCATTCCTCAAAAAAAAAAAAAAAAAAAATATCAGTGGTTCTCAAAACCAGCTGAAACGGAAGTAAAATGAGAGAAACTGTGGGCTTTCTGAAGAGATGCACCATTTGTTACAAAATGCAGGATTACAAAAAGCATGCAGAGGTTTCAAGTGAGAGCGAGAGCGAGAGAGAGACAGCGAGAGAGCGAGACAGAGAGAGAGAGCACAGTTCAAATTAAAAGTCACAAGGGTAGACTTTCTGAATTATGGGTTATCTGAGATCAAGCTGGTTTTCACATGGCCAATTCAATGCAGCTTGCTCTAGGGTGAGTAGTGGCTGAGAGTTAATTACTTAACGACAGTTAATGATTCTCCTGGGTGATACTGGGAGGTATATGCAAATTAATACTAATTACAACAACTCAGCAGCAGCTACCCTTTGTGGAGCTTTTGAGGTGCATCAGACATTGGGTGGATGCTTGATGCTTGTTCTCATTTTATCCTCACAAGAACTGATTGAGGAAGACATCATCAAACCTACCACTTTTCTTGCAGACAAGGAAACTAAAGTTCAGAGACGTTGTTCGGCTTGATTAAAGTCGCATTTAATAAGTGGAAGGGCTGTGTCAGGCCATGGTTGCCTCTGACTTTAAACCCCTTGCTGTTAACTGTACTCTTCCTGTACTAAAATCAATTAATTCCTAAGAAAACTTTGAGCAAGGCCTCTTGGGTGATCTCAACTTCCAGGTGAGTACTTAGGGTTAGAGGAGAGCCCTCCAGTTAAATTCAAGGGTAGGGGCTTTGAAAGATCTGGGGATGCTCTGTGTCCAATCACACACACTCAAAGGCAAGACAGGTAAGCAAGGTGCTGGCCTCCCCATGGGGAAACACGGCATGGCCTTGGCATCCCGCATCAGTAGAGCAGCCGACCCACTCAGTTCAGCAACCTCAGGCCCAACCCTGAGTCTACGTCACCAAAGCCATTTGGACTAACTTCCCACCTCCTGACCATCATCTGTTAGGAAACTCTCCGGGTGCTCCCACCGCCTCTCACCTGCCAGCCTGCAGCACCCCAGAAATGCTGAAGAGTCCAAAGTCCGTGATGACCACTTTGCCATTGTCGTAGAAGACATTCTTTGACTTGAGGTCCTTGTGCAGGATTCCCTTGGCATGGAGGTAGCCCATGCCCTGCAAGAAGCAAGGAACAGGGAGTTGCCAGAGAACAACCTAAGAGCTCGCTGCCACCCTGGCTTGAGTTCACATCCCTTGTCCTGAAGACTTGGCTCCCTGATGGGACCACACTCAACAGTGGCAGGGCCTGGGGTCTGACCATGGGTCCTGGGGGTGAGGTCGGGGAAGGCATGGCAAGCAGGAACAGGCAGGGCCCCCAAGACACAAATCCATTGCCACTCTCAGACCACAGAAAGGCCATCCCCATTTGCTCATCTGATTCCTGAAGAAGCAAAAGAGATCCCCAGGGAAAGGAATTCAACCAACCATTTTCATCCACTTCCCCTTTAAAGACTAACTCTTCTGCAAGACTACATAGTCAGACCTACTTAACCTATGCTGCTGCAGAAGGCACTGAGTTCCTAAAGAGATGTTCATAACTGCTCATTAAGAACAGAGAAGAGTGTATTGGAAGCCTCGTTCAAGGGCAAACATCTAGAGTTGCAGTGGTTTCTTTCTTTTTGCCTTTGTTAGCAGTCGCATCGTTCCTCTTACAGCTTGGTCCTAACACCTCCAAATGAGAAATGAAAGCTTGAGTACAACTAATAAGGCACCTGCCAGAAAACACAGGATGTTCTTGTTTGTTTTAATCCAAAACAACACCCAACAATTTGATGTTTCCTTAGCAGCAGTGGAGAGAGACGGTTTCCACTCATGGGAATTTAAGGCCTCAAGGGATGGTGGATCCTAACCAAGAGGGCTGAATAGCTTGTATGTGACCCCTGGTCCTTGCATAGGTCCAAGTACCATAGCAATGAGACACCAGATGGAAACCAACCATTGGTGGATAGTTCCTACAGATCGTATCGAGGCAGAATTCTTACTTACACATGGCCTGGCATTTTTCAGGTCAAGTCTAATTTCTTTTAAGTCCAGATTGGTAGTCTGAAATCCAACCATGAATGTTAGGAGTCCTGGAGTTGGGGGCCTTCTCTGGGGAAAACTGGGTCTTTCTGAGATTTAGGTAGGAGGCCCTAGAGCCGACAGTACCTTCACAATTTCTTGAGCAATCTGCCTGGTTTTGTTGACATCCAAGACGATTTTGGCGTCCCTCACGACAGAATAGAGCGTCCGTCCCTTACAGAGGCTGAAAAGCAAAAGGACAAGATAAATTAATGGCAGTCGTTCAGAAGAGGGTGACCCATGACAGTTACTTCAAGTGACAAATGATGGAAGAGGCACGTGGACACACCACTATTGTGCTTATGAGATAATAAGCCTGGGACTGGACTTCAGATCTGGTTCTGGGATGGAGATCTGCGAGGAAGTTCTTGTAGATTCTTTAGAAACTTGGCCAATGTGGCTGACCGACAAGGACACCCACAGAATCTAGCCTAGTCCAGAAATGGGTTTGCCACGTCCAGTCCATCCCAGAGGCTCACAGGTGGAAAGCAGCACATAAATCAACAACTTCTGGGTCCTCAGACACCACTCAGACAGCATTCTGTTGGCCATTCACACCAGCTGCATGCACTTGCCAGGAGTCAGTGTGTGAGGACAGTGATGAAAGACCAGTAAAGTGGTGGCTGATGTGTATTAAGTATCATCAGCAAACGATGCAGTCAATTGTTTGGACGGGGATGTGTAAACACCAGTAATACCTCCCCCAAACCAGACGCCTGTCTAGCTAAAGAGTTTTTCAAACTATTTTCAGCCTCATTGAGTTCATTTCCAGGACCAGTAGTTTAAGATGAATGACAGGATGAAAAAGGACATTGTGCAGTGAAAGTAACACCTTCTCATTTAGTCGCCTGTATGCTCATCCGTCCCGTTCCTCTGCAGTGAGTCCAATTCCCAGCACGCACAGAGCAGGCACCCACAAGCCGTCACTGAATGAATGGATTCTAGATTCATCATAGCACTCCCAGCCCCTAGCACTGTGACTGGCTCAGAGTATGCAATGTGGGCCAAAAGAAGAACGTACGTCACTGTGAAAATTAATTTTCCATCTCCATCAAAATCACTGTTTGAATCTTCCTCTTTTAACCTACAACATTATTGCTAAAATACTCCTGGCATTGTGTTCATCCATTTGGTATTTACTGAGCCCTTGTCGTGTACTGGGCTTTGCTGAGATTGTATGTCCTGTGATTGAAGCAAGAACGCTGGTATCAGAGGGATCTCAGTTAGAATCCCAGCTGTGCTCCTTACTTACTCTCTTGAGATGGGTTACCTCACCTCTCTGGGCCTCAGTTTCCTCATCGACCAAAGGAAACTAATAATACTTAACCCTGTAGTTGAGTATGAGGATTGAAAGAAATACAGAGTTGGAAACAGGCCTTGGCATCCAGTGGGAAGTATAGCACAGTGGTTAGGAGCATGGGGACTTAGAGTAGGACTAAGGGGTTAGAATCCTGATCTGTCATTTAGTGGCTGTGTGACCTTGGGCGGGTGCATTAACCTCTCTGAGCTTCAGTTTTATTATCTACAAAATGGGGCCAACAGCTCCTGCCTTTCTGAGTTGTCAGGAGAATCACATGAAACCAGGCACGTAAAGGTATAGGCACCTCTCTATGCCTAGTACATTTCATGGTAACTTTCCATGAGATCACTGGCTATTGTAAGAAGTTGTAAGTGATTAACAAAATAGTAAACAGACACACATATACTTGTGCAAATATATATAAGTGACATATCTATATACATATCACACTGTTTATCTGTCCACCCATCCGTATACTCTTCTAAAATGCTACTGATAGCCACCCATGATCTTTAACATTTTTTTCTTCATCTGCTTAAGGTGAAGTCCCCAGGTAGCTGACTCACAGAAAGTCTGATTCACGTGTCCGAGGAGGTCACCCAGCCAGCTGGCAGGAGGCAGCCCAGAATGAGTCAGGGCTGGCCCCGCATCCCCTAGGTTGCTGTCCCAGGCAGGGTGTTTGCTGTGGCTGCTGGAGCAGAGGTGGAGGAAGGGTGGGCAGAGCAGCCAATTACTCCATGTTGACATTTCAATATTTGAGACCGTGGGCGGATTCCCTCCCCTGGATACTTTGTTCCTGAACAGCCACCTACACTCATCACAGGCCAAAGCCCAGAAATCACCCTCCCCACTGCAGACCAAAGAGCAAATCACCGCCAACAAGGCTCCAAGACTCCTCGGAGTCTCTGCTCAGGGTAACTGCAGGAAAGTCTCAAGCTTCAGATTTCCACCCCTTGTCTTCTTTCCCTCCTTACGCCATCTTTCCCTTCAGCAGCTACTGGTCTTTGCTTCTCTCACTCCCATATGACCTCAGGAGCTTCTGGAGAAACCACTGCACCAGTTTGGCAAAGCTACTCAGGTGAATATACATACAAATAATAACCTGATATGGTTTGGCTGTGTCCCCACCCAAATCTCACCTTGAATTGTAATAATTCCCACGTGTCAAGATCAGGGCCAGGTGGAGATAATTGAATTATGGGGGCAGTTTTCCCCATACTGTTCTCCTGGTATTGAATAAGTCTTATGAGATCTGATGGTTTTATACAGGGGAGTTCCCCTGCACAAGCACCCTTGTCTGCTGCCGTGTAAGATGTGCCTTTGTTTCTCCTTTGCCTTCCACCATAATTGTAAGGCCTCCCCAGCCATGTGGAACTGTGAGTCCATAAAACCTCTTTCCTTTATAAATTACCCAGTCTCCAGTAGGTCTTTATTAGCAGCATGAAAACGGACTAATACAAATCTACAACCAGCAATTCTTCCTCTAAGTAAGTACCCAACAGATATGAATTCTCATATTCACCCCTACACATGCACTAGAATGTTAACAGCAACCTGTCTGTTGGAATCCCAAACTAGAACCAACCAGCAATGGATTGAATGTTTGTGTCCCCAAATCTGTATGTTGAAATCCTCATCCCAGTGTGATGGTATTAGGAGGTGGGGCTTTGGAAGATAATTAAGTCATGAGGGCGGAGCCTCATGAATGGGATTAGTGCTCTTTTAAAAGGGACTCCAGCCAGTTCTCTCACTCTTTCCCTGCCATATGAGGATACAAGGAGAAGTCAACAGTCTGGAAGACGGCCCTCCCCAGAATCTGCCCATGCTAGCACTGGATTGTTGACTTTTCAGCCTTTGGAACTGTGAGAAATAAATTTCTGTTGTTTCTTTCTTTCCTTTTTTTTTCTTTTTTTTTTGAGATAGAGTCTCCCTCTGTCATCCAGGCTGGAGTGCGGTGGCACAATCTTGGCTCACTGCAACCTCTGCCTCCCGGGTTCAAGTGATTCTCCTGCCTCAGCCTCCTGAGTAGCTGGGACTACAGGCACAATTTCTGTTGCTTCTAAGCCATCCAGTCTGCAGTACTTTGTCATGGTAGTCCAAACTAAGACGCAACCCAAATGTTCGTCAACAGAAAAGTGCATAAAATATGATATATACATATAACAAAATATGTTCATGCTGCACTATATAAAAATAACCAAACTACTGCTAACTGCAAAAAGCATGGATAAAGCTCACCAACATAATGTTGAGTGAAGGAAGCCTGACACCCAAGACTACTCAAGTCTCAAGCTTCAGATTTCCACCCCTTGTCTTCTTTCCCTCCTTACGTCATCTTTCCCTTCAGCAGCTACTGGTCTTTGCTTCTCCCTATTATATCTATTTTATGGGTGAGGATATGGACACCCAGAGGCCCAGCTTGTGGATGCATAGCCTTGATGGGAACCCACTCCCAATCTTCTTCCTGTCTTCTCCTCCACTGTGTGGGTGCCCCGTTATCAGACATGATTCTTGAACCATTAATCAGGTATCACAGCTAAGGGAACAGAGGAGCACAAACTGAGTCCAAATCTTGACTCCAGCATTTACTACTTGCTGGGTGACCTTCAGATGTGACTTCAACCTCAGTTTCCATGTCTGTAAAATGGGTCCAGCAGAAACAATACAGGCTGACATGTCCTGGGCACATTCTATGTGCCAGGCAGTCTAAGGATAAGGGCCTTACAAAGTGGGTATTCTTGCTGTATCTCATTGATTCCAAATATGCACATTTCTAAAATCAGAATGTGTCCTGCAATCATTGACAGAGCATAGTTTCATTGGCACTGTATTTCTTTCTTTGTAGCACATAAAATAAATGGTGACTATTCTTTTCTTTGAAATGGGGTCTCACTATGTTGTCCAGGCTGGTCTCAAACTCCTGGGCTGAAGTGATCCTCCTGCCTCGGTCTCCCAAAGTGCTGGGATTACAGGCATGAGCCACTGCACCCAGCCTAAATGGTGAATATTCTAATTGAAGGTATCTTCATGGTTCAATGAAGCATGGTATCAATCTCATTTTATAGATGACAAACTTGAGGCTCAGGGGTTAAGTAGAGCTGGGATGATTTTAATTTAATGTGTAAAAGTTGTATATATTTATTGTGTACTACATGGTGTTTTGATATATGTACATATGTGGAATGGCTAAATGAAGCTATTTCATTTATGCATTATCTCACATTTTTTTGTGTGTGGTGAGAACACTTAAAATCTACTCCCTCAGCAATTTTCAAGCATATAACATATTGTTATTGATTATAATCACCATGATGTTCGAAAGATCTCTTGGCTTGTTCCTCCTGTCTAAATGAAGTTCTGTGTCCTTTGATCAAAGTCTCTCCACTCCCCACACTCCCCAGCCTCTGGTAACCACCATTCTACTCAATTTCTATGACTGACTGTTTTAGACTCCACATATAAGTGAGATCATGTGATATTTGTCTTTTAATTTATGTATTTATTTTGAGACGGAGTCTCACTCTGTCACCCAGGCTGAAGTGCAGTGGCGCCATCTCAGCTCACTGCAACCTCCGCCTCCTGGGTCTAAGTAATTCTCTTGTCTCAGCCTCCTGAGTAGCTGGGATTATAGGTGTCTACCATCACACCCAGCTAATTTTTGTATTTTTAGTGGAGATGGGGTTTCACCATGTTGACCAGGCTGGTCTTGAACTCCTGACCTCAGGTGATCCCCCCTCCAATCTCGGCCTCCCAAAGTGCTGGGATTACAGGCCTGAGCCACCACACCCGGCCGTTATTTGTCTTTTTATGCCTGCCTTATTTCACTTAGCATAATGTCCTCCAGGTTCATTCATGTTGTCACACATGATAGGATTTCCTTCTTT